AAAAAGAAATATACATATATATCTCTCTTCTGTTTCGTTTTTTCCGTGTTTGGTTTTTATTTCATTGCAGAGCACAGAACAAAATAATGCTTAACAAGTGGATAATTATAACTATAAGACTGAATATTTAGTTTAATGGTTCAAAAAGGACCAAAAGGAAACTGGGACCACAGAAATTGAAAAAAAAATACTAATAATAGTCTTAAATCGCAAGTTTACAAAAAAAAAAAAAATATTGTATGTATTCATTTAAAGAAATATATCAAAGTGCAAAGTGCATTCGTTTCTGTCATAAACAGAATGTTTTCGAATGAGTTGAGGAATTTAAGGAATTGTCAGCGAAAAAGAAAAATCACTTAGATATAATATACATGAAAATACTATTAAAACAAAATGCAAAGAAAACGCAAATAAGTGAAGAAATATCTAGCGTTTCTTTTAGAAAAATTTATTAAACAATATGTTTGTTGTATGTATGTCAATGTTAAGATTGAAATTTTGTTATAACATAAAATTAATATGAATTGTTGTTATTTGATTTTTTTTTTTGGAAAATGAAGTAAGAAATTAATGTTTATCAATTGATAACAGTGTTACTATGTAAATGCATTTATAATATATACAAAGTGGATTATATATAACAGATACTGCTGCGGCCACATAAAAAGTGTCCCAATACAATTTAGTGAATTGCCTACTCTTATACTGCACTCTATTTAAATATCATATTTTTCTACATTCAAAGATCTAAAATCTCAAAAATGGTTTCCTGAAACACATATTTGTATCTGTATATTTAAACATAAAATACGGCGATTGTTATGTCTTACATTGAATATATAAAATGTATAGATGATCTATAGTACAGGCTTGTTAAACTCTTCACCGTTGCTTTTATCCAAAAGTCCGAAATTTAATGATTCCTAAAAATATGCAATTTAAATTCCTGTGTGTAAAAAAAGTGAGCTTCCAGTAGGGAATATGCAAATTCGAGCACTTAAAATTATTATATTGTGTATGGGTTGTTAGAGAGAGAGAGAGCGAAATAACGAGTAGCAAGTGACACGATAGTCCAGTGTTATGAATGATGGATAAACTGGAATCCTCACAAGCAACAAATTAAAGAATTTAGCATATATGACTCCAAAAAAATTATTATAAAAAATATAAATGTAAATATATTTAAAAAGTATTTGTTATCCAACGTCCCCGAAACTCTATCAATGCATAAGACATGTTGCTAAAACATACCTATATATTATTGTATATATATAATATATATATATGAGCCGCTCAGTGCACACATCGATTAACACGACCTTTTGAAAAATCTTAATTTTAAGTTTCAGAGCTTATGGTATAGTCATAACTTTTTATATTTATAATAACTTTCCTGAATAATGAAGATTAGCACCGTTAAATGACAAATTTTTACGGCCATTGAATAATAAGTAATCTATTTCAGAAGCCATTTCGATTACCTCCATACTCTAATGTAAATCATTTCAGTACCACTGATCTGTACTGTAGTTTCATTCTTCTTCTTATTGACTTTATACACCGTTAGATGAAAGCTATATCTGCAATAAGGCATTCTATATTATATATTTGAATTCATATTATCAAAGGTAATTTTAAAAACAATCTTCAATTCATCATCACGTTTCTCAACTCTTTGTATTATGTAGTTAATCAGTGTGTGCACTGAGCGGCTATATATATATATATATATATATATATATTTTTTTTTAATAATAAGCAACATATTAAATTTAAGTTCGGATGAGTGAACATAAATAAAAATTGTGTTTGCCAGTTGTTGAAACTGTCATTGCAAGCTTAAGGGGTTGAACCAGAGTGACAGCAAAAAAAGGTCGCTTTTTGGACAAAAAAGTGTTGTTGAACTTTAAAGTGACCCACGATTCAGGTAAAAAAACGAAACCAAACAAAATCGCTTCTTCTTAAAAACAGTTGAAATTTAGTTTCAAAATCTAACGATATTTTTCATGCCAAACTTACTGTTTTAGTGCGATCGAAATATGCGGGAGTCACTTTATGTCTGAAATAATGCTGAATGCGATAAAAAAAAAAAACGACTGGATGATTAGTTTTTGAGTTACAATGGCAAAACGCTTTTTTAAGAAAAATTATTTAAAAAAAAAAACTTACACTTTAACTTATAGTATGACTAATCTCACGCGTCTTAGGTTGGCTCCGAAACTATTACAGTTACACAACTGAGGTTGAAATATGGGTGTTTCGAAGGTATAAACCATCGACGTCGGCCGCGGTAGCCAAAGGGTTAGCATTGCGTGCTGCCATTTGAAAAGCTCAGGTTGAATTCCTGGTAATAACATCCAAAAAAAGTTATAGAAAATTAATTAAAAAAAAAAATAAATAAATAAATTAAATTTTCTAACTGCGGTCGACACTCGGTAGGGAATGTCAACTCTACCGAGTGTACTCCTGACATTAAATAAAAGCTACTCGTAAAAAAACGTCCCTGCATTTCTTGGAAAAACATCAAGATGCAAATCGGAGGAAGAGCTCGGCCGAAAATCGCTTGAGCGGTTACAAAGCGCCAGCTATACAAAGGGTAATTTTTTTTAGCTATTATCTTTTAAGCAGCTGACGCACGCTTCGTGTTTTGTATTACTGTCAAATATCTTCAGCTTGGTCTATAATTTAACCATGAATCGTCTTACAAACGAAAAACGCTTGCAAATGATTGAATTTTATTATCAAACTGCGTGTTCTATTAAGAGAGTTCAATGTTCCAAGTTCATTTTTAGCTTAACGGGTGCTTAAAAAAGCATCAGTGGACCGTATTTCTTCAAAGATAATGCGAATCGTAACGTAGGTGTGAATGGTGAGCGCTACCGTGAAATGATATCAAACTTTTTTTTTGCCCAAAAGGCTAGAGCTTGACTTGCATGACATGTGGTTTCATCAAGACGGTGCCACATGCCACACAGCAAACTTATTGAGAGGCGAGTTCGATGAACATTTTATTTCACGTTCGTGCTCGGTCAATTGACCGCATGCATTTTCCTGAATTTTATGGTTTTTTTGTTGAAAAACTTTCCTACAGCTCTTGAAAAATCTCCCTTTATATAAGCTATCGAAGAATGTTAAAAAAGCCGTTTTTTTTGGAAAGTGTTATACTGGTTGAGCTCCATTGAAAATAGAAATCTTTTTATATGCGCTAAATTTTGATTTAATTTAAGCAAAGTAAATAGTAGAAAGTCCGATATGTGTATGTATGTATATGCGATATACCTGGAACTATTTTACGGTCATAAGACATGAAAAAACTCTATCAAGTTTCGTAAAATTTTGCGCTTTCGTGTTATATACTACATATATATTAACGCCTAAAAACTGACTTTTTTACCTCTTTATTTTCGACTGTTTTTATCTGTTATCCATTACGACAGCAGAAGTGGCAGGGCCGAGTCTAGACGGAATCAGGTCGAGGTTTACTGAATCATATGACTTAATCAATCTATGTTGAGCTCCAACTTAGCTGTAGAACGTATGAATGAACATACCTTTATTACTAAATCAATTATTCTCGCAAATCTTTAATTATGCATATGTATATGTATTTATATATTATATATAGGCCTCAAATTATTTCGATTGCCACATAGTTAATATATCCTTTGTACACAGTAAAGTCGAACTAAAAAAAAAAATTAAAAAAATATTTGAGGGTGATAATATTTATTTATTCGACAAATTGAGGCTGAGTACAAAAACATAGCGTAAAATGTTGTTTTTTGTTTTAATTCATGCCATAGAAATGTGAGAAAATCCCTCCTTTAATGCAATAATTTTAAACTGTTGTTGAACATACATATATATATATTAAATATATATTATATATAATAAACTCCTGAGCATTTGTGTACCTAATCCGAGGATAATACAACTAACTAACAAAAACAACTATGTATATTAATATTTATATTAATTGTCCAGTGTGTAGTTTATATATGATAATATATTTACAAAAGAAAGCAAAAACAAAAATTTACTTTAAATGTTTTGAATGAGTGTAAAAAGGTGACTTTTCCTTCAAAAAATACATACACATACTATTGTACTATACATATGTACAAGTATAAAAGTACTGCAACACAACTAATATAGTACCGATTATTCAATTGATGAATAAATATTTGATGAACAACTTTATAGAACGTGAAATTTTTTATGTGAGTCACAATAAATGCAGTTAGAAAAAAAATAAAAATAAAAATAAAAAATAAAATAAATAAAAAAACTCAATGTCATCTGAAATATAAAAATTACAAATTTTTCAAAAATTGTTAAAACCAAAGCAAAGGTGGTTTCATTTCTACTACATTTCTATAAGGTTATAAGGGCAAATTGGAAGGCAATTAACTGCCGCTGAAAGGTGCGTTCATGCTTTGTTCGCTTAACTTTGTTTCTGCTTACAGGTTTTTTTTTTAGAAAATGTGTTGTCCTTTTAGTTTTTAACTGAAATTCTTGGTCTGCTATTTTCGTAAATGCCCCCATTCGGAGAAAGCTTTTTTTTATTCAGTTTTCTCATTAAATCATCAAACTCACCACTCAAAGTGTCAATATTTGTCAATAATGTTTAATAATTTTTAATGCCGTTTTGTACTTTTTACTATTCGAGTATTCTCAGTAACATTGTAAGTAAATCACTCATTGTTTCATTTCACACTTAAAAAAAAAAAAAAAAAATTTATAAAAGTTTGTAAGCACCGAACCACTACTATTTACTACTACTCCTACTACTCAGTTTATTATCTACATAAACGTTCACTGCAATTTCACCAGCACCAAAGCCACAATAAGCACACCATTCATTTCACCTATATGAACGCGCTTCAGTGTAAATGTTTTATCGCTTTTACCGTTACAATTTATAGAAACTTAAAACTAAACTAAATAAATACATATTTTCTATCATGAACAAATTTATTTGTTCACATAAAATTCAACAGAGGCTCATTGCAATGCCAACTACACAAAAACCGCGACCACACACTATAACCAGGCCTAGAGATACCCGTTATGAGTACAGAGAAATGGTTAAAAATCAGTCACTTTCTCGAGCGGGCGATACCGTAAAGAATGCAGACCAAGTTTACATAATTGACGACGACTATGATGGAGCAGAGTGCGAGGCAGTAGAGGACGAGGAGGAGGAGGAGGAGGAGGAGGAGGAGGAGGAGAAAGAGGTCTATGAGCAACGCCAACATGAATGTAAAGACGTTGGTGATGATGATGCGTTCGCTAATTATTCTCCGAATATGTCTGCCGATCAGGGTGACATCGATTCTGATTACTTTGAGCGACCACGGCCATCGGCTCGTTACACTAGTGACTCTGAGAATGATTACCGTCCCCATCGGCCGAACCACGAGAGGTTGGGCAATATTTCGGGGCGCAGTACTCCCGATCTTTCGAGTTCGGCATATGGTGGCCATCGCAAGTCTGTAAGCTTCGATCTGAGTGGTGACGAACGGTCCAAATCCGACTATGAACGATCACGTACGCCAGATGGTTATTCACGTTATTACGATTCCGAGCAGGAATGTGGTAGTATACGCCCACGTTTGCCACGCAAAGGTATATTACGTTCGGCCAGTCCATCATCATCTAATAATTCATCACTGGAGCGTTGTAAGCGTCCCGAAAAACTACCGCCAATAGTGCCTACAGTAGCGCGTATCAAAGAGATCGAATCGCCTACGCTTCAATACGTTCGCTCTTCTTCACCAGTGACTAGCAGAGAAGGAAGTAGCAGTGGTTATCGTAGTCCGCCGCCACAGCCAGAAAAAGTGTCGGTGTCGACGGAAATCGAAAGAGAAAATCCATTCCGGGAGGCTTTCCTCGATAAAACCAAAACCGACGAGTATACCGAATTGGCAAAGGCAATGTCGAAATCACCTTCAGCACTGAAATCTCCACGTGACCATTTTTTCTTTGGTTCGAAGTCTACGGAAAACCTATTGGCATCTGAACGTTCACCATCGAGTGGTCGTAGCACACCTAGTACCGTGGTAAGCATACAGTCGAAATCCATCGAAAATCTAGCATCAACAGGGGCCAAACCAAAGAAAATACCTCCGCCAATATTACCTAAACCGAAAACCAAAAAGGCTGAGCTCGTACACAATGTGGCACTTGATGCCTTTCAAAAAGCTGACGTGGGCTATGGAGATTTTACTGTTTTCGAGCATGATCCCACCACGAACACAATTCATGAAGTTCGTTCACCTCCCACTCCACCATCACTAGCAACGCCAACTGTTACAGTAACGCAAACTACTGGAAGTGGTGCTAAGCTTCCGGTACGTGTAAAAGGACCTCGTAGTCCCACTCGTCCTCGCGAAAGTCCACCTCCTCCTCCTGTTAACTACGCAACATTGCCAAAGCTCTCTTCGCCCAGCGCAAAAGTAAATGTGAAAAGCAGCGAAGAATCTTACTACTTGGAAGTGCTGCCATCACCACCGCCTCCTGGCGATGATATACCGCCTTCACAACGACGCCCCACGGAGTTTATACACGAAAATTCGCCGGATCACATATTGGTCACGGAAGAAGAGCACCGTACTATCTTGCTACACGAGAACGAAATTCGTAACCAACTTCGCAGTGGGGTCAGAAGACCGCAAATCCCAGAATTGGGACCACCGCATGATGAAGCGCCACCTGTTCCACAATACGCGAGCATCAAACACTCGGTAAATCCATTTATAGATAGTTCAGATGACAATTTTGAATCATTACCTCTCCCTCCACCACCTGAACACCTACTTTCCTCTGCGGTTCTAACTCCCGGTTGTGATAGTAGTTCCCATTGCGATAGCGAATCTTCAACTATTAACATTATTTCTCCTATTTCTTCTATTACTTCTAATGCGAACATGCAGCCAAGATTGGATCTCTTACCGTCGACAGCCACAATACAGACAGGCATTCCATCTAAAAATCTACTTTCACCCACACAAATATTCCCTACAGCGCAAATACTTCCTGTCCAATACACCAGTCTTCCACATCCCCAACAGCCGAATACCACAAACATCCTAACTGGTACGAACAATCTTTCTAATTCCCAGCAGAGTCAGTCTTTCCTCACTGTGGGTGGCCTTGTGCTGATGCCACAAGTGCCATTCAGTTCGTCAGCGTCGCAAGCATCGTCATCGTCGTCAACATCGTTGGTTACTACACCCATTTTCCTGGCCACCAGTGATGGTACCGCGGCTGCCACTGCTGGTGTATATATAAAACCACAGCAACAGCTACAACAGCGTCCACCGCAACTTCATCTGCATCAGCGTACAGTACTGGTGAGTGAATCGACAACCCCACCAACACATGTACTAATTCAACCAAATGTTGCGCCAAGCTCGACAAATACCGGTAGAACCCCTCTTAGCATTTCGTCTGAGTCGAAAGCCACATCCCCAGATACCGTCACCAGCAAATACAGTATGAAACCAAGCTCTACATTTACTTCCACTGCTAATACTGTATCGTTTGCCACATCATCATCATCGTCTGCATATTCTTCTCACACCAACACTGCGGCTTACACAATCAAAACAACTAGTTCGACAACAGCACAACCAACAGGTTCAACAATAGGAACACCAGTTGCCAATCTTGCCTCCCCTACACCATCGTACACATCAATGCAATTTCCCACAATATCCGAAATAGTTGCACAGAACTCAACTGTGTCCATTTCCTCTTCCGAACGTCCCATTCACATTAGTACCGGTGATTATCAAAACACCGAACATTCATTAGATCTTTCTACCTCCACCTTAGCGTCGCTGGAATCCGAATCAACAACATCATTACAGCGCACCATGAACGCGGCGTCTTATTACGAGACGGCTGAGGAGATCTACTCCACCATTGAAGAAGAAGCCATCTACAGTAACACATCATTCTTTGATTCTCGTCGCAGTAGCGACACCTCAGTGAATTGTCGGTCGTCTATTTCACCACCTCCACCGCCATTACCTCCCAAGCGGCCTCTTAAGCCGACACATTTAATATTGCGCACAGCTCCGCCACCGCCGACTACAGCACGACCATTAAAATTGCGTTCGCAATCCCAACCACAATTGGTTGTAGCTTCATCACCATTGTCGCGTCCAAAGTTTGCAAGAGTTGTGAATACGCCCACATTGTCCTCACCTCCCACTGGCAAGGAAACCACAGTGTAATAGCATAGCTTAGTCCAGCTATAAAAGGCAGCGCGAGTAGTTGGCGATGGTGTCGAGCATTATAATTGCTTAATTTTAAGTCAGATTTGTTGTTTTGTCGTCGAATCACAGCTTGCCACCACGTCACTTGCGCCATCGTCGACTCGAATTGCCAAAGAAGAAACTGTTGTCTGCTTTAAACGTGTTGTTTCGTGTTGTTGTTATTGCTGTAGTGAGGTTTACGCTGTCTGTTTGTGTGTTTGTTGGCGTTACACTTTTGGGAAACTAAAATTGATTTTTTGCTTTGTTGTTGCGACCCTTCTCCAGTGACGAAAGTAAGTTTCGTTTGTTTTAAGTTTACGCTTTCGCTTTGTTTAGTTTGGAATGTATTCAATCGGAAAGAATTTTCAAATATTTTGTTGAACATATGGAAAATATTAAAATACATATACATGCATGTATTTATCAGAGTGTAGAGTACATTTGTCTCTTTGCTAGAAGGACACTTAGTCCTTGGGGTATATATTTGATTTCGTAATCTACATATTTGTCGTCTAAGAATGGAATGCCGAAATGATTCGCTGATGAAATATTTGCATTTAAATTGAAATATAACACTATACATTCAAATCACCTATGCCATATTCGACCCTGTTTCTTCTACCCTTCTTCTACTCGGGATTACGTTGAAATTGATTAACAAAACTGCATGGGTATTGCTTTCAAAAAAAAAAAAAAAGAAAAAAAACTATAGTCGAAATATAAACTTAATACTGTTCCATACCACACTTATTACCCAATGGATGGGAAAACAATTCCATACAGACTTACATATCTCACCTCCAATACATATGACATTAGAAATAAACGATTATACATAAATATAAGATTTCGCATGCCCTTATCATAGCACCGCTTAAGCAGAAACATACATTAAAACGATGATTTACCGTTATCGTTTTCCGATAATTAGAAAATTATTGATTTAAGCGCCAATGAATTTCATTAAACAGTTAGAAATTTGGTTAAGCACGCTCTCCTTCAGGAAGTAAAATAAATAATCGAAATAAATGCTAAAAACCTGAATAATTTTAAAGATATGGTAAGCTTATATGTGCACTACTGTGGGCAAAAAGTAAGGTGAATTTGTTTGTAAAAATAAATGTTTTTATTTATTCCTCTACATCGATTTCGGTGCCTCCAAAATAGTCCCTTGCCCATGCAATGCACTTATGCCAACGCTTTTTCGAATTATCGTAGCATGTCAAATAGCCACGTTCTGGTATGGCTTTCAGAGAGCGCCCCGATTCACGTTAAATCTCCTCAATCAACTCAAAACGGTGTTATTGATGTGGTCTCTTGAGTTTTTGGAAGAGTCAGAAGTCACATGGTGCTGAGTTCAGCAAATACGGTGATTGGGGAATGATATTCATGGAATTTTTAGCGAAATTCAAAAACCAATAATTGTTGGCTCATAATTCTGGTCTTTTTTTGCGAATAGCTTCACGCAAACGATGCATAACACTTAAATAATATTCCTTATTTATCGTTTGACCGGACGGAAGGAATTCATAGTGCACCACACCACGAAAGTCGAACAAAACTATCAACATGAGTTTTGAACGACTTTGACGCTCCAAGTCATCAACACGTTTCCGACCCTCTTTGAAGTCTTTCTCTCCCTTTTACACGTTCTTCTGCGCCATATTTGAGTGCCCAAAGGCTTTCTGTAGCATCCTCAAAGTTTCAGCAGCCGAAAATTAGTTTCGCAATCAAAATTTTATCGCAATTCTTTGCTCAATATAATCAGACATTAGTTGTTTAGTAAACACAAGCATAACTAAAGTACCAATGATGACATTAATATGAAATTTAGCGTAGATGTCGATAACAGTGCTACCAACATTAAAAGAAAATAATTAACCCGAAATATTAAACGCGTGAAGCTCAAATTAAAAATTCACCTTACCTTTTGCCCACAGTAGTATGTACGATGCCACTCAGCTAGATAAAATTATTATAAAAACTAACAGATCTCCGAAAAAGGTAACCAAATTTGAAGAATTTGTTCTTTTTTTAAGTTCTTTATCTGTATTTCGCATTAAAATCCAATTCGTTTCTGAATAAATTTTTTATTAATTTTTGGATCATATTTACGCCAGCTTTCAATACTAATCCCTGAATTTCTTTTTTTAAATTCAGTTGTTTTTGACATACTGTATGTACGATCAAACAGTAAATATATCAAAATAAATATTTGTGTTTATAAATACATACAATTTTCGAAAGAGCTTGGTGAAGATTCCCCAATCAATAGCTCAAGTAACAACTCATCCATTATTTTTGCAATAAATGGCTTTAGTGATCTGTTTCCAGCTTTCTGTAAGTGCGATGGTTTTACGCTAGATCGCGTTAGAAAGATATTTTGTATTAAAAAAATATATTGGGAGAAGTGTTGTTCACTTAACTCTGTAGTGTTTGAGCTCATGTCAAGGATGCGCTATATTCTACATTTATTCTGCGTTAATGGCGAAATGGTAAGTCAGAAACATGAAATTGTTAAAAAAAAGTGTTTATGGTCCTGAAACTGTAACAGATAATCATGAACAATTACGATTTCGTCCAATTCACTCGGCTAATTTTGATTTTAAAGATGCTCCTCAGCGTGAAAGGCCATTTGTCGAAAATGTCGATAAAATAAATGCGAGCACTTTTTCGATTGTCTGGATACTAAAAGAAGCTCGATGTATGGGTGCAACATGAGTTAACAAAAAAAAAAACACTGAATTTCCATCTGCGAATCGCTGCTCTGTCGTCACAAAATCGACTCCTTTATGAAGCGCATGGTGACTGCTGATTTAAAATGGATCACTCGCTCGTGATCGTAGGGCAGTCAACCGATAGAAACGGTCTCTAGCCAGGTTTTCTTTTGTGTTTGGTGGTATTGGCAAGGAAACAACCACTATGCGCTACAGTCCTACGACCAAACTCTTAATTCGGACATGTACCGTCAAAATATGCAACATCTGAATGAAGTAATCGTACAGAAGCGCTCATATTTTGGCCAACAGGAGAGGAGAACAAGCCACATACGTCGATAGTGACTCACCAGAAGCTCTGACAGCTTGGTTGGGTGGTTTTTATGCATACACCTTATAGTCCGGACCTCTCACCAAAAGATTACCATTCTGTCTACGATGCACTGTGGCCTCATAGGGACAAGCGTCTCTATGAGAGAGACAAAAGTTATCGCGCAAAACGGTGCACATTTTACGTAAATCGTATAATTCTAAGTACGGCAAATGAAGTCTTCAATTCAATGCAAAAATGATGGATGACTTGTTACTTGACCTACTCTATACACATTTACTTCCATACATATGTATGTATATGAGAATTATTTGTTATCGACATCTGTATTTGACATATGAAAGCTGCATAGAATCCTGAATATGCTCATAATGCAAGTATTTTCCAGTTATTTTTTACGCATCAAACAAGTTCCATCAAATGTGTTAAAATTCATTTCCAAAATTTTCCATTGTGGTGAGTTTAACAGTTTTTCTTATTAATTTTTTCAATGTGCGTTTTTTTAGTGGCTAGGTAGCTAGTCACGGAAGTTTTAATATATTCATATATATACTTATATTTTTTGAAATTGTAATAAAAGAAAATAAAATAAATTAATAAACGCCATGAGTGGTACTACATATGTACATATACACATAGCTTAGTAGCAGGCATAATTATTTACTTCTACATATCATAACAACTTTTTTATTTATGCTTATTTTGATCACAAAAATAACATATTAGTTTAGTGGTAAAGTTAAGAAAATTCAGTTCTAAGTTGCTGTAATAAAAAAATCACTAAAACACCATGTTGATTTGTTTTATTTTGTGCTGTTTAACTTTCTGTTATAATTTTTAAAATATTATAAAATTATCAAGTGAATTACAACAAAAAAAAAAAACACTAACTGGAATACTTGTTATGCTCAGATGGTTTATAATGTCTGAAAGTAATTTTATTATTTTTATTTATCAATTACTATGACTTGAATTCATTGTATTAATAAACACAAAAATAAGGCACAGATAGATAATCTATTTCACGTATTAAATTATAAAAAAAATAAGAATTGAATCGGATTACACACAGTATATACAGAGTTTTTAATATATTCATACATGTAGTTAGTTTAGTTTCGGTAAAAAAGTAAAATTTTTTTTATTTAAGACATTACCTTTTTCTATGACAGCTCGTGAACCATCCGGTTAACTTTTAGGATTTTATGAAAATTAAAATCAATATTAAAACCCTAAACCAGTTTGGTTCTGATTGAAGAACCTGAAGGCATGTTGCTCCGTAAGCGAAAGCTTACTACATGAAGTACTCATTAGTCAGTATGATTCCACTTAGTCGTAAAAGCTTTGAAACAGCTTTTCCGCCAAGTTTCTTCTGTTGGCTTATTGTAAATTTTTGTAAAGTGATTTAACTTAATATTTCACTAATGTGTTGATATACAATATATATATTTTCATACCGAGCCCTTTCAAAAAAAAATTATTTCATAATAGATATAAGAGACCAATCCAATTAGAAGCCCTTATAAAATATATAAGTTTACAATTTGTGTTTCTCAAAGAACAATAAAAATCTAACTTGTCATATAAATCGGTGCGAAATTCAATTTATTTACATAAATGCTGAATATTATTTTCACATTTTTAGATTACCGAAATGTAAACTAAAACAGACCTAGAAAAACAGCTCACATTATAGCGAATTTATCTCTTTAAATCCTAAACAAGAATTGTTCATTTTTCCACGAGCAAATCTTTGTAAAGAAGTTGTAGTATTATAGGCAAATGAGAGGCTTAAATTAGAATGGCTTATATAAATTCTGAAAATTTCAATCAACCTAGTAAGCGAGGTTTTTCGAATTATGTCTTGTTACCAATGTTGCATCGTAATTATAATTTTCACGCTAAACCAAAGATTTCAAGCGATTCAGTTAGAACATATCAAAATAAAATTTATTTCATTCTTATTCTAAACGAATAGTTTTGTTACTGTTAAATCGTTTAACAGATAATGTTAAACGTTAGAATTAAAGTGTGCCTGTTTAATCATAGCAGACAGTCATTTTAACATTAAAGTTAACGATAAGTTTGCGCGATTTCAACGTTAACGATTTCATTTCTTTTCGATAACAAGCCCGCCAAAACAAAGCGAATTAATTTCGTTTCGATAATAGAACGGCGAAACGATACAAATAGGCCTATTCTGTCGAGTTAACAAAATTTACTTTGGTATTAAAATTTACCATTCAGTTCTCGTCACCCTGTAAATTTTGTTACCTGTGAAAAAGGAGGTAACATAAAAAAACTGCTATATGATTTTGTGTTTTTAGTTTGAGAAAAAATAAAAACCAAAATGGGTAGGCATATTTTAGGCCTGGAATTCATTGAAGATGATGAAAAAAAGTGTAAAAAGGCGTATGCTTAGTAGTTTGCAAGAAAAAAATTCTCATTTAATTTGAAAGATTGCTTTTTCATTCAGATTTTTTTTTTGTCGTTTAGGCATATTTTCCAAAATTAGTTTTAAATATTCATGATTTAATAAAAAAATTAATAAAACTTATTTATTTTGTTATACACCGTGTGAATATTCTCCTTTTTTACTTTACCCACTGGCAAATGGAGTTTGACAAGGACGAAGAGAGCAGTGCTGCCCAAGTTTCTTCAAACTTGGTAAACAATTCGCCAGAATACCAAATTCAATTTCGGGTGTTAAAAAAAAGTAACAAAATTTACTTTACCGGTAACAGTGAGAATAGGCCTGAAAATCATTTCGACAAATTTGTTTTTGCTCATAACAAAACAAAATGGCATCGTTTCGTTAGGTACGCATCACTGCTTGATACTTTATCACAAATGATTTACAGATCTTATTCTAAAATTGTACGTAGAAATCTAAATGAATTTTAACAATACTCGGTACTCATACTGTTTGTATTGTTTCACATTTCAAGAACTAGAAGGAATGTCCTCCATTGGAAAAAATAGATAAAATATCTCCAAACAGTCATACATGAATGGGGAAATACAAAATAAGCATCGTCGGCAATCATACGGATAAAAGTACAAAAATTAAGTTTTCAAACTCTTGTTTTGGTCAACATAAAATTAGTTTTATCATGCACAAGTGACTGTGCACTGTTTCTAAAATATTTAATATTTTCCAATAACAGCGCAACTTTTACCTTTTAAACAATTATTTTATGTATGTAGATAACAAGAAATTATGTAGACTTTTGGCCGACCTTCAATAAATACCGATATGCTCGTTATCAGTTAGTAACAAACACATACATACTTATTTATATAGATTGCGTCCACAACTTTATCTAAAAATATGTGAAGACGAACTCCAAACAAAAGCGTTGCTAAATAGCTTTTGTTTCTACTATCTTATCTTTCCATTACTACGATTTTTTTTTTGTTAGCACAACTTCCGCCTTCACTTTTCTAACACCATTATACATATATGTACTTGTATGTATGAGCGTATGTACGAAATGAAGTTTTTTTTATTTTTTATTTTTTATTTTTTTTTGGTTTGGAAAATTGTAATAGATTTTTGGTAAAAAAAAAAATATTTTTTTAGCGCCATCTATATGATTTCGTTGTAAAAAGCTCTATCATTTGCTTCAAGTAATTACTCTGTAGGAATATATTGGCATACGATGTCGCTTTCAGTTAAATTTTTTATTTTTATTCAATATGCAGTGGGATTTTATTCGCATAAATGCCATTGTTATAACCGGCTGTTTAAACAAATACTCGTTGACATTGTAAATAATAAAAAAATAAAAAATAAAAATAAAAATATTCTCAGTTATAAGCAGCTGATTATTTTTGTTTTTTTATTAAACATTTTTGTATGTGCTAATACTTTTTGCATCTCTTCTATTATATACTTCCATTAATTTATTTTCTTCTTGTTACTTTTCACGTCTTATTCTCGCTATGCCTTTTTCACATAGAAGAACAATAAATTTTAATTAGTTTGCTTATTTCAAACAAGATACAGTACTTTGGCTGACTTTAATTGGTAATGAAGAATTTGACGTAATATTAATTACACAGTGTCCTCAAAATACACCTGCATACATACACGCCTGTGACAATAGTTGCTCTTCTCTTTATCTTTAACCCTCCGACTTTTAGATGCTCAACTTCGGGGTAAAAGGTGCAATGTTCTTTTACTGTCGTGACATTACACCGTGTTTCCACTAGATTTCAAATTAATGATGTAATGCTGCTGCTATTGGTACAAAATGTGTGTATAACCGACATAACGACCACCAGCAACAATTTCTGATTTGTGATGTTGTCTCAACATACATACGAGTATATAGCAGAACATATATCCATCCACTTTTGTGATGAAGGATAAAATAAAACAAAGCTTTAAACAAGCTGAGTAGTCTTCGTTGTCAAAGATTTATTTTTAGTTTTGCAATAAATTCAACCTGCAACACGAACAAATGCAGTTGTTGCTCCTTGCATTGTCCCCTTTTCCTTTAGGTAAAACATGTATGCTCAAACCATTAAAACGACCACAGTTGGTTGGGAGAAATGTGTGTTTACATTCGTTGTGTGTGCGTTTTTTTTTTATAAAGAATCAACTTTAAATTAAATAAAAATGGCCTTGCAGTGGCCACTGACTGCTAGTAGAAATATAATATATAGACCGTTTGGAGGCAGAGCAAGGATTGTTTTTTTTTTTCATTTTAATAAAAGTATCGTAAAAACACTTTAAATGACAAATTTAATTTCAAATTACATTATATTTTTTCATTAACTAAAAGTGCTTATAATAATGTTTATAATTGCATATTCTTCTTGTTTGACAGTCACCTTCATCTGAACCCATTACAACGACAAAAGTGCCTAAATCAGTTTCAGATAAGAAACGGTTCTTTGAATCAGCTATGGAGGAACAACACAAGCCATCACAAAAGACAGGTAAGTTGAAAAATGTGTTTGTATAGAAGAAAGAGTTGGGAAAAAATGAAAATCATCCGCATCTAAGTTACGAAGTTACAAAAAAAAAACCGTTAGCTGTTTAAATGCTGTACTTATAATGCTGTAGTATGAGAGATGCCACGGCCTCCTTTCAGGGTTCGGGCAAACTTTCTTACAAACCTGCATGATAAACCAAGTGTGATGCACAAATTTAATTGAATTCGGTGTAGCCGTTCTCATAACCGTATAACTGGTGACATCGAGAAATATGTAAGTACCGGAAAGAAGAGGGATAAACCCATCAAAATATATACTGATCGAAGCAGAACGACATGTCCGTCTGTTTGTTTGCCAATTAGTCCCTCAGTTTTGGAGACAATTCGCGCGGTATACAAATGTTTACTTACATTTAAACGATCATTTGTCAGAACCGGTCACAACGGACCACCATGTATAGCATATATTATACATATATGATCGATTTTTTAGATATGAGGTTTTAGGTCAAAAATCCGCCAGGAATTACACTTTAGCTCCGAAAATGATCGAAATCGGCTAACTATAACATATCGCTACTATACACCGATTTATTCATAAATGAAGTTTTGTTTAAAATTCTGTAAGAAAATCATCTAAGGGCATGGCATTTGGTTTTATACATTCGCCTAAACAATTAAACATGGCCACTGAAAATCTTCGAAATCGGTGGATTTTATCATAAGGCCCCCTTACCAGCGTTTTGTTTAGATCTGAGGTTATAGGCCAAAAATGTGTCAAGAAAGCATCTGAAACCATGAGATTTTATATTATACACACGCATATATAAATAAACACTTACATCGAAAATCATCGAAAGCGGCAAACTTCAGCATATGGTTCCCTGTAAATTTACAGACGTAAATTTCGCTTTATACGATTATACAGGGTCCGCCACGTAACTTTTTTTTTTTTAAAAACAGTGCGCACAAGATCGATCGTAACATTGGTTGTGTGGCACGGAGCGCCGTCTTGCTGGAACCAAATGTTGCCCAAGTCCTCCTCTTCGATTTCCGGGAAGAACCAATCCGTTAACATGGCGCGGTAGCGTGCCATTGACCGTAACGGCGGCTCGAAGAAAAATGGGGCAATGATGCCGCCGGCATTACTCTCTGAGGATGCATTGGCTTCTCCTCGATCATGTGCGTTTTTTCCGTCCCCCAAATACGACAATTTTGTTTATTGACGTAGCCGCCAAAATGGAAATGAGCTTCGTCGGATAAGATGATTTTTTGGTAAAAATCCGAGTCTTCGGCCAAGCGCTCATCTGCCCATTTTAACACATTCCTCAATCGTATACACAACCATTTTCGTTCAGCGGAAGGAAGGAAAACTAACTTTCTGTCAAATCAGATGTATCATCAGTGTTACCACACTCAAAATAACTACTAGTTCAAAAAAAAAATGTTAGATGGCAGACCCTGTATTTTTTCCGCTGCTTGGCGTCAATTGGAAATGCCAAGCACAGCCAGGTCCTTCCCTATCTGGTCTTTCCAACAGCGTTCAGGTCTTCCTCTCCCACTGCTTCCATCGGTGGGTACTGCATCGAAAACTTTCGTAGCTGGAGTATTCGCATCCATCCGGACCACGTGACATAGCCAGCGGTTATTTTTGATTCGCTGAACTATGTCAATGGCACCGTAAATCTCATATATCATCATCGTTTTTTCGGCTGTGATATTCGCCGTTGCCAGTACGCAAATCGTTCGCAAAACTTTTCTTCCGAAAACTCCTAGAGCGACTTCTGACATGAAAAAAGCTCCTCATAAAATACCATCAGCCGTTCGGAGGCTGCTTGGTATATACTGTAGGTCCCTAAATTTGTTGGAAAACATCAAAACGCAAAACTCAATTTATATATTAGGTCAAGTAAAAAGTTCGTTCGGTTTTTATCTAAGACATGGCATTACTGTCCACAGTACTGGTGTTACGTGTCGCATCATGTCATACTATACGGCGCTGAAAACGAGTTTATTCTCGCTAAAATTATTTGTCTTTGACAGTTTTTCGATTGATTGACTCAGTACGTTATGGCTTAGTTTTATTTTTTTTTTATAGGAAATATAAGGAAATTTTTCAATTAATTTTTTCTTTTATTAAAAGATATTTCATCTCTTAAACTTGCAACAAAGTGTAACACATACCATTATATTTATATTTTAATGGTTGTCATGGTTGTCAAATATCTCCCTTCCGCTTTTTTGCTCTTCATTCAATGCTTTATAAAAAGTGTTACAGTGATCGGATTTAGTTAAAATATGCGCCGTTTTGTTCGATGATCTGTTTCCATCTAGACGGCAACTTCATAATACCTTCCTCGTAGAAGCCCCC